GACCTGAAACCCACAATGCCAGGGGAAACAAGAGAGCACTAAACACTAGTTGTCAATTTTTTACGTCCAAACATCTTTTACTGTCCGTGACTTCAAATGATGTACTTCTTTTTGGGACTCTGGTAGTTTGTCCTAAACTTAAAGTGGTAGCAGCCGGCTGTTCTTCTCTGGTATTATTGAGTGGAGAACCTCTCACACTAGTGATGTTCCACTGCTAAATACGCAAGTGCGTAATGAAGGCTATGATTGGCAGCCCCCCCCCCCCCCCCACACACACACACACACACACACACACACACAAACACACACACACCACCACCACCACCGCCTTCCCCACATGCACTCTCTGAGTTTCTTAGTCGGATAAAAAAGAGATGTTAACAAGCGTGCACACACTCACACGTGCACACGAGCACAGACAAACAGCAGATTCACCACTCAGGAGAAGGGCAGACACAGAAACTGACTGAAGGAAGGATTTCCTGTTCACCTCCTTCATTAGAAAAAAGGGGAGGAGGACGTTTTTCTTAAAGAGGCGAGTGGCACACACACACACACACACACACACACACACACACACACACACACATAGAATAATGACTACCCATTTGTACAGCACTATTAGACACTCCTCTATACAGGTTATCAGAAAAAAAATAATTTAGGTGTTACTCACTCTTTGAGGCATAAAAAATGTTTAAAGCTAATTTTCTCCAAATTTGCTATAGCAGCTTTAACATCACTCAGACATCCCAGGTGCATCTGAATTAATCATCAGTGCATCATTTCTACATTTTTGTTTGTACCATCCTGTGGCTTTTTAAGGCAGTATTGGTCATGTAAAAGAAGCATTTAATCATATATAGACAGATATGTAGTGACAAAAATCTTCATTTCAGTTTGTGATCTACTTTTGCTTGTAGCATTTTCTCAGTCTGATGGCATTTGCCAAAACGACAAAGCTCTTAATTTGAACCGAGAGATGGATTTAGACTTTGAGGTAGACATCTATTTGAACTCTTCTTTGCAGAACAAAGGGAAGAAAGAGTTTTGCACATAATTGCTTAGTAAACATTTTCTATCTTTGTCCACATGTGTTTGGTCTGATTTTCAGACGAAACCAATGCCTAACAAATCTGAACATCTGTGAAAATTAACTGCCTTTTCAAGAATGCGTAATTACAGCAGAGCTGAAGTAAAGAGCTGCCACGCAATATAGTTTATGGTTCAAACTTTTGGGAAAGCTAAACCAGAGTGGCAGGCAGCAGTCACGACAGGTTTTGGGTTCTGCTGAGGGCATGCAGAGCTCACTACTGAGCAGCATGCATTTAATGTAAACCACATGACTTCAAAAAAATATTCCTAAAAATGTTTTTTCCCATGAAATAATGAAATACAGCAGAAGTGCATATTCATTTTGTCACTCCTCCCGTTGTTGAAATTCAAACACAACACTAAAATGTAAAATGTATGTAAAATATATTGTTTGATCCTCAAAACATACCTTTTTAAAACCTATTCTTAGGCTTAAAGGAGCAATATATAAGAAAATTATAGTGAAATAACCACATAACCGTCCAATGTCCCAGTCATGTTGGAAGGAAAGTTTACATTGAAATGGATTTCCTTCTTAGCTGGCTGGGATGTGTCAGTTTTACTCCTTTCAAAAAGGCTGAAGACGGATGTAATATTTGTTTAAAATATGCAAGCTTACAATGTTGCCGAGTCTGCACCAGCTAAAGCTGCAGTAATTCGACATGGTCAGGCAAAAAGCTCAAGAGCTGTAAACAGCAACTCGAAGAAGCCACGGCATCTTTTTGTCTTACTCCTACTTCACACTAGAAGCATCAGCGGGGCGGAATGGCAGTGAAAAGTCTCTCCTTCAAATAGAATCCATTATAAGCTATGGGAGTGATTAAAACTGGCTGTGATGCAGAAATTTTCAGGCTCGCCCCAGAAGCGGCACGCTGCACCGCATAGCATTGGGTTCTATTTTTGCCACAAGCCACTTCTGGCAGATGTCAATTTCCACAATTAACATATGGCTAGACAGGTAGTTACACACAGTTTCAGTATAAAATGTCTGGTAATTTTCAAAATAAACGACTATTGAAAAAATGCAATTTTATTTAATCTACCGGTATGTAGATTATGTCTATATGTGTGACATAATGGCTTGTTTGATCCCTGCATCTTTCGAGAAGTGCAGCGGTCTCTTGGCTTTAATCTTGGGAGTGGAGAGGAACCAACATCATGGACCTATTGCAGCATGGCGTCAAGTGCCCAAACCACCGCCCCCCAGCTCCAGGTTGGAGGTCAAAAATAGTTGTATGTATCTGTTAGCTGCCAATAAACAGAGGTAAATAGTGGCAAATTAAAATCTATCAGCATGGTTAACACACACAGTCCTGTAGGGTGCACAAGTAGACGAATGAAGGACAGAAAAGTTAAATTTACAGGTTTCCAGCTGATAAAATACGCTGAAGGCAGTGTGGATAAACCACCCACTTCGTGGCAGACAGTCTCGTGACAGAGCTGAAAATTTTTCAAAAGACGTTCAGCTCCCTCTTAAATGAAAGTATGTTATACCAAACATTTAAAAAAATCAACTACTTTTTAAATAAAAAGAAGCAACTCAAGTTTTAATGGGTTGTGTCATTTGTTGGTTTAGGTGATGAATGTATATACATCTGAACTGTGTGGACTTATCTCACAAAATGATTTTACCATGATGAGGAATGCTGAAAAGCAGGTTATCTGCAGTTTGAAGCAAAAGAAAATTGCAGAGTTTGTGGTTGCAAAGACTGAGTTAGCTTGCATTTCAAGTGTGTCAGCTTTTGCAAATAAGAGGGTGACGTGAAGCTTCAAAGGGCACACATGAAGAGTAACTATGAATAGTTTTACTGCTTATGGTTTACCCTATATATTCACATAATATACATCCAATGTTTCCACGCAAGCAACATTCATCATCTTTAGATATGAAAAGAAATACTTTTGCAGGATTTTTTAAATTGCATCTAGTTAGTAAAGAACATTTTGTGTGTTTGCATTCATTGACGAGACTTTTAGATTCATGTTTTTCTCTATTTTCTGTTATAGAGAAACAAGAGTTTATCCACTAACAGAGCTGAACAGACTATTTTATTCTGAGCTGCTGACTGATGAACTAATTATGTAACTGAAGGGTTTGTTTTTGTAAAAAAAAATACATTTGGTAATTTAGGCAGAATTTTGTGCGTATGCATCATTATTAATCTAAATCAGCACAGCTGCAGTAACTTGCAAATCGTGTTAAGCAGGTAATATGTTGCAAAAATACTAGTTTTGTTAGTGTCCATTAAATAAGACTAGACTAACTATAAAAGCATACGCTCTGCCCTGATAGAGAGATGTAATTTTATTAGTCGATTGTTACAGCTATCCAATTTAAATACAAGATGATATTATTGATAGTCATAGATCTGATTGATAAACAAGGTTTATAACTGTAAATTTCACATCCAGTCCCGCCTAAATGATGGACCAAACAAATTAGATTTTAAAATTAAATTAAAGGGACACAATTGTGTTTAACGTTGAAGGAAAGTGAACACGTTTCTTGTTTGACTTGCTTTATAGTAGATAAAAATCTTCCTTGTTTAAGTTGGGTCTCATTTATACATAATGTTTAACAAAGGGGTGTAACAGCCACTGGTACTGGCTAACTTGTGCCAGACAAACAAAATGTCAGCTTTAACATCACATCTTTCTTCAAATTTCAAACCAGAAACCTATACACGTGATCTTGAAATTTTTGAATATGGTGCAAAAGTTTATTTATGTCAGTAATTCAACTCAAAATGTGAAACTAATACATGAGATAAACTCATTACATGCAAAGCCAGATATTTCAAGTCTTTATTTGTTATAATTGTGATGATTATGCCTAACAGCTTATGAAAACCCCAAGTTATAAATCAGAAAGTTAGAATGAAAGTTCCATTAGTCACTGTGGATTCCACTGTCCATGGCCTCCACAGTGGAACGTAGTGGGTGGAAGGGGTTTTCCAAGATGGAGCTCATCTTTCCCAGCATCCTCCTTTCACCTGTCTTCAGTTGAGGAGATGTGTGAAAGGCCCAATCCCAATACTCGCACTGCGCCCTGCAGTCTTCACCAAAGTGCACTTGGAGAAAGTGCGCAGCAAGGCTTAGGGTGCGTGGTACACAAGTGTGCAAATAATTGATGAATTGAGACAGGGAGCATTACGTAATTGACCGCAACGCATGCCAGGAAGCTGTTCACTGTGATATTTTTTAAAACCTTTAACAACTTTCAAACAAACAACCAGACAACTATTTGAAATAAATTACAATCATTGCTTTTTTGTCATTCAGAGCATCAACTAATTGTCCTAAAATCAATTAGTTTAATTAGAATATACTTATTTTCAGAAAAGGCACTTGTGCATCAATGCGGACTTGGGTGAAGTGTGGATCAAGGGTGCAAAAGGGGCGTGATCAACTTCCGCACTTGAGAATCGGGACACCCTATGCACTCGCACCCCTGGTAGGGATCGTGCAATTGAAGGGTGCAAGTGTGGAAGTGTGAGTATTGGGATTGGGCCAAAGGAGGATGCTGGGAAAAATGAGTGCCATCTTGGAAAACTCCTCCCATCTACTGTGTTCCACTGTGGAAACCATAGACAGCTCCTTCACTGGCAGACAGACATTCCAGCTGTAAAACTGAATGCGATAATAGGTCATGGTTATCTTTTTAACATTTACACAAAGATAGCTTTTATCTCATTTAGCATTTTCTTTTATACATTTGACACAACTAGGGTAAGGTAATCATATTATTAATAACTGATTAATGTTTAACTTTTGGTTCAAGCGTTTTCATTTCTTTCTGAATTTTTTTTTTTACTGTTTATTGTATGTTTAGATGTTTAGTGTTCTCTAATGAAATAGTGGTTGAGTCAAAGGGAACAGTGATGATTTTTAAAGAAACAAAAACCTTTTTCAATTTCTTTATATCATTTCATTATTGAATTCAAAGAGAAAAATATACATTTGTCAAGGTTTGATTTACACACAAAAAACGTAAAAAAAACTGACTATATTACATAAAAGTTTATGATTTGAAAAGTTCAGAGTGCACAGGAGTGAACGTGTACGGCAAAGTTCAGGTCTATAAACAGACTAGTGAGGGTTAAATCTTTCCAGTCACTAGGCCAAAAGGCTACACTCAAAAATAATAATAAAATATTCTCGATTACATCAGGTCCTTTACAGCAGGACAGGCATAAATACTGTACATGTGATGAAAAGTCATATGAACTGTGTCAATGATTTAGTAACAGAGTCTGTTAGCAGGGCTTGGTGAGGGTGCCACATCCTCTCAAATTACACAGAATGTGAGCGGAGTCTCCAGCAAAAAAAAAAAAAAAAAAAATCCAGTGTGATGCAACATCTGTCTTCACCTTTGACATGTTCAGGTGAGGAGCTAGGTGCAGCCAGAGAGGCGGAGCAGTTGTTGCTGCAAGAAAAGTGTGTCGAAGGCAGAAATGTTTCATATTTAACAAAGTGAACTGATCTAAACAGCCAGCAGCAATAACGGCAGAAAGGTCGAATTGATCTATTACAAATAACATCTCACTCTGTATTCAAGTAGTGTTACAGTACAGCAGTTAAAGTGTTTTATTCTTGCAATTATCTAAAAACCATGTTCAGCTTCTAAAAAAAGTGAAAAAAAGGTATAAAATAAAAGGAAATCAGCCTTTTTACTTCTTCCACTGTAGTACTCAAAACGACACATGCATCAAATAAGCAGGATTATATCAAAAAGGTATACAAGGGAGAAAGTAGATGTTTTCAACTCTACCAGAAGTAAAAAGGGTTTGTTTACACTTCTTTTGTCAGCCATTAGAATACAGTAAGTGGAATCTTCCATTACACAAACATGGAGTTAAGATACATAATACCGATAAAACATCTTTACAGCCATTAGGGATTTAGTGGTGCGTGACATTTTCTTATCTCGGTTGAAACATGACTCCAGCTCCTAACTGGACCAAATGGTTCGCAGTATCTTAGTAAGAAAAGTGTCTGTGTAAAAGCACAAACTGCAGAGGATGGCTGGGGGTGTGAAATCAAGCCTCTTTTTCAAGTCAACTCCAGTTTGCATCTTCTTCATGCACACAAACTCCAATCAGGGCACAGGCTCAGCAGATTCATCCCAACGCGTCCATTTCATTTGTTACAAAGTTCTTGTTCGTCGTTTTTCGTTTCCTCAGAGGACGGCTGACTGTTGCCTGTATCAGGACCAGAGTTCAGAGACCTGGTGGTGGATTGCAATGAGCGCTTGAGACGTCTGTTGGTGCAGATGCAGCACAAGAGGCTTTTGATAGTCTTCCACATTTCCTCATCCTTGTAGGAGTAGATACAAGGGTTCATGACTGAGTTGGCTACGGCCAGCAGGAGCAGCACGCGTTTCGCTTTCATGACCTCACAGCTGCGACAGTCGACACCGTCCATTAGTAGGACCACCAGCCCGGGAGTCCAGCAAATCACAAAAGCCCCTACAAGCAAAAACAACAGAGAGACGGAATGAGATGTGGGTGAAAAGAAATGTGTAAAATTCACTCATCAGAGCGCTTTTGCAGGCTTCAAAAACCAGCTGCCAGCATCAAAACTGAATGTAGAAGTTTTTTGATTATTGATTTTTGTGGATTATCCGAGTAAAATTCTAATCCAAGTTTCTTTATGAAGCACTTTAAAAAAAACTTGTTGACCAAAGTGCCAAACAGAGATAGAAACATCACGAGAGAGCATAAAAGGACATTAAACTGGATAGGACAGATAAGACAATAACAAAGTAACAGAAGTATGTTTTTAAAAGTGATTTCAAAGCATTCAGATCTGAGGCAGTTCTGATGCTGACTGTTCCGTAGTTTAGGGGCACATACTGCAAAAGGCCAGTCACCCCAGCATTTACATTTATAACTAGCCACTTCTAATAAGATTTGAGCAGATGGCCTAAGGGCTCTTGCTGGTTTGTAGGGATGGATTTGCTCAGTCAAATAGGATGGTGCAATCCAAATAGGATCTGTGCAATCCAGCAGTGGGTTTATTTTTCATAATTTAGTTTATACGATTTTGTAGCTCACTTTTAACACCTCGCACCATCTTGTAGCTTTTTTGGTTTTATTTGTGCCATTTCAAATGGTTTTTATCATTCGTCGCATAATTTTTATTTTTTATAGTGCTGTTAACTGTTCTCTTATTCTGTTTGTTTTTAGTAGGAATTTTTATCCTTGATTATTTATGCTATGCTTTTAAGTATTTTACCTGCTTTCATTGTGTTTTGTTGATTTGTTCAAGCATTTGGCTCTTTTATGTACAGCACTTTGGTTAGCTGCCATGCTATTTTGAAATGGTGCTTTATAAATAAATTGGTATGGTATGGTATGGTATGGTATGGTATGGTATGGTATGGTATGGTATGGTGCCAGACCGTTTATTGACTAAAAACAAAAAAAATCTATCTGAAGCTGAACTGGAAGCCGGTGGCAAAAGGCCAAAACAGATGTGCTATGTTCAAATTTCCCTTTGTTCGTCAGAAGTAGCAACATTTTGACCTGCCTGAATATTTGACACAGACAATTTATTTATTCCAGAATACAGAACAGTCAAGTCAAGTCTTGTGCTGATGAAAGCATGAATCGCATTCTCAAGGATGTTAAATGAAAGAATTGGCTTGACTTTTACTCATTAGACTCAAATAGGAAAAACTGCGTCACAACTGAGTTTGTTTATCTAAGTCCAGATTTTAAATTTATAAAATTGTTTTACTCACTTGTTCTAAAACTCAAACGGTCACAATCTAGGCATGAAATACTACAGGTGAAACTTGAAAAATTAGAAAATGGTGCAAAAGTCCATTTATTTCAGTAATTAAGCTAACCTCTACTGCACACTGGAAGTATCAGCAGCACAGAAAGGTTTACTCGCGACAATTGCTGCACTCCAGTGCACATTGGGAGAGTCTCAGCTGCAAAGCGGCTTCTCTGCTGTGCTCCTTGCTCGACTCACGAGATCACGAAACCATTTGAGTTCATGCAATTCGCCATTAAACTCAAAAGAAAATCACGTTTGATATCGCTGTTCGATGTCATATGTGATGTTGTTCCTCTCCACTGCCAGTCTTAAAGCCATGAAAAACACACCGCTAGACTTCTGGAACAATGCTGGGAGTAAATAAGCCATTAGGTCGCTTGTATTGACGTAATCTAGATATCACGTTAAAGTCCCATTAGTCATCACACACTGATGAAATTCATTTCAGCATTGGGCCCATCCCCGTGGGGAGCGGTGAAATTGCATCGCTGCAATTGAATTATTTTGAAAGTTATTGGGGATTTTACACAGAAACAGTGTGTTATTTCCTGTCTAGCCGTATGTTAACTTCGGAAATTGTTGCGTCCCAGAAGCAGCTCGCAGCAAAAATAGAACCCGGTCCAATTCTAGGGTGCACCTCAAAATTGCAGCGTCGCTAAAGACAGGATCAAATTCTATTTTTGCCACGAGTCGCTACTGGGACGCAACAATTTCCGCAGTTAACATAGGGCTAGACAGAAAAACACACACTTTTTCAGTGTAAAATCCCCGGTACCTTTTAAAAAAGTCTATTGCAGTGGTGTGATTTCAAATTTGTTCTGCAGCTCACCGCTCCCCACTGGGATGGGTCAAATGCGGCTGGTTTAAATCACCCCATTGACTATAATGGATTCTACTTGAAGCCGTGATGTTCGCTGCCTTTCCGTGCTGCTGATGCTTCCAGTGTACAGTAGGCTTGAGCCTGTAGTCTAAGTCTTTGCAGCTGTTTTGGATTCATTAGCTGATCACAGTGTGACACTTTTAAGTCTAGAATCAGAGACAGCCCAGGACATACCCAAGTTAAGCGACTGCTTGGGGCCCCACACCACTAGGGGGTCCCCAGGAGAACCAATATTGTGTGAAAAAACTTTCTATTAACTTTAAATTACATAAACACAATTATGTTAAATGTGAATGATGTATTTTTTATTCTAATTTTTTAATATTAGTGTAATTTCAATTCATTTTTTAGTGATTGTGCATTTTATAAAACTTCCAAATTTCAAGAACAAAAGACTTAAATTATTTACAGTAAATTTAGTGTTTTTCCTTTCTTCGGACAATGATTTCAAATATTTTAAATAATATACCAAATTTAAATAACACTGCATTTTAACACGCAAATTATTATTATTATTGTTGTTGTTGTTGTTGTTATTTAAAGCATATGTAAGGTTAACATTATAAAACCAGTATGATGTAAGCTAATAATATTGTGAAACCTAGGAATTATGAATTATCTGGTGTTGATACTTTGGTATGGGGGGCCACAAAGGAAAGCCTGCTTAGGGCCCCGGACAAATCCTTGTTCCGGCCATGTCTAGAATATTGAACCTTTTCACAATATTCTAATTGTTTGACAATTTAAATTTTGGGTTTTCATAAGCTGTAATACATAATCATCACATTAATAAAAAATAAAGGCTTGAAATATCTGTATTTGTACATGATGAGTCTATCTCTACCTTTTTAAGTTTAATTAATGAAATAAAATGAGATGAAATTTGCACTATAATCAAAAATTTCAAGCTTCTCTTGCATTACTTTAAAACTTTCTCCACAAAACAGCCATTATTTATTTGCACAAAGCAAATGTTCTCTAAAACGATAAAACAAAGAGTCCTGGAGTGAGATGTTTAACTTCCGAGTTCATAGCTCATCACTTGTCTTTCTTATTTGTTTCTCTCTTTCTGTGTTTGCTGAATAGTAAACAAAGTCACTACTGCAAATGCAAACTATCTGTTATCTTCAAACATGTTTGGGCACAAGAGCATGAGGGATTCGCAGAATGAGGCTGCAAGCAGAAACTTGCCTGCATTTCCAGCATCTGTGCCTTCAGTTCTGTAAAATGAGCCCATTCACAATGGAACAGCTCGCTCATTGTGACCCCATGAAATGGAGTTCCAACAACAGATTTAGATGCATTTCCTTGTTTAAAAGTGTCCAATAATTTTTCTAATCCTCTGACAAAGCAAAGATGTTTCCTGGCACATGTTTTAAACTTGTTTTTGTTATTTACTGGTTAACAGAATCACTTAAGATGACTAATTCACAAGCAAGCCCCACCGCAAAGGCTTAAAGTTAATTCTAATGTTTGGCTTCTAACATGTTAAAATTTGACAAAGACGTACAAAGATATAGCAAAAACACAAGATGAGTCCTTCCACTAACATATTTTCAAGTAGCTGAAAAATAAGCTCTAGAGCAAAATAATCAAGTTTCTGTTCATTTCTTTTCAAGTTTTGTTTCAGCTCAGGTTTCAGATCTACATCCAACTCAGCATTTCTTCACTCTGCCCTATACGGACAAAGCTTGTGGGAGTTTACATGCATTTCAGAACAGGTTTGGCCAGTTGCAGTGAGGGACTAACACCTGGTAGATTTATTCATGTCTTATGTCTGGAGCCAAGATCACATATCAGCATTTGCTACTCTGATACACGTTAAGTGCTTAAAGCAATCTTAGAGAACAGACACTCATAAATGAAATATGTACATGTGCCAACCACGCGTTCAGCTGAGGGTAGAAGAAACTAGAGACCAAAACCATGCACAACCTATAGAGAAATGCATCTGAGAACAATTCACAGAATCCTAAAATATAGTTTTTTCTCCTCAGGGTGGAGAGGCGCGGGGTTTCTCTGTGAGCTGATGCGGTGAATGGTTTACCATGCAGGACTATGTGCTTGCAGCATGAGATGATTACACAGAAACAAGGGTGTACACAGGCAAACAGCTCCTATGCTCCATATACAGTGCAGTCTGGAGACATGTGGACGGATGATCGGACAGACCAAAATTATAGACTGCTTCTTTTGATGGGGGAGACACAACAGCTATCTCATGCATTTTAGTATTCAGGTGGATAGAGATTGCAATGAAAACAACTGAAAAACACGGAGATTAACCCATTCAATCTCCAAAGTCCTACAAAAACATACCAGAGAGAGATTTCTAAAATCAGAATCAAACATAAACACAACCAGAATAAGATTTTTTCAGTTCTCCAAAATGGGAAAATAATTGTTAATGTCAAGTTTCCTGTTGCAAATCCCAAACAAATAAAACCCAGACAGGAGTTGACATAAAGACAGTTGAGATGAGCACTTAGCAGGCGCTGGTGCAAAACAAGAGCTTGTTTAGTACGAGTCGTTTCTGTTTCAACCACTGAAAGATGTGACTCTGGCATTGAAATCTTCATAAATGTTTACTGGGTCAAAGCAAAAGTGAGGAGATGAGGGCATGCTCAGAGAGGGCAATAATCAATAAAAATCTCGAGTGCCATCTTTAAAAATGTTCTACTTTGTTTCACTTTGCGATAGAAGATCAATTCTCCTTGTACTCTGATCCTCTAAAGAAATTCAGAACACAATGAGACAATTTAGGTTAAATAATAATCACATGGCACTGAATCTGCTCCCTGGTTGCATAAAGGCCAAATTTTTCTCAACCTTAAGAACCTGTTGGAGCACTAGCCTTAGAACTGGAACCTAGAACTGTAGAAAAGTCCAAAAAGAGAACGTATTTCCAAGACTGCCAAGGTACCTACACAACCCAAAGATTTTCACTGACAATTAAGATATTATTTTGACAAAAAACTTTGTTTTAGGTGTTTAACCTGTATTGAAATTTAGCAAAAGATAGTTTCTTTATAAACATATTTTATGTTTTGCAAATACAAACTATTATTCACCTTTTAAAGCTAGAAATAAAAGTAATTAAATCAAGTTTTTAAAACTGAAATATTTATTGGCTAATGGAAACATAACAACTACATCAAAGTTGATTTTATTTTTTATGTAACTGTATAAAATAAAACAGCAATGGCGTCACACCCATCCACCTCCGGTCCATGGGTCCTCTACTGTTTAAAAAAATGAATGAAGCAATAAATGTTATTTTCTGATCCTGTTTGATATGAGCCATGGATTTCACATAAAATGTTCACGAAGTTTTAATTTTGTTTTGATGCCAAGAATGCGCATTTTTTGACAGGTACCAGAAGTTACTTTTGAGGACTTGAACTGCTCGTCTCACCAAATTTTCCTCATCAAATGAGACAAGGAGAAGAAGAAAAATGGCTGTGAGCTTATTGAGCTTTGCATCCTTCTTCCAGGAAGAAAGAATGAGCATTAAAAGTGGAGAAAACCACTAGAAACCTGGCCATGTGGTTAGTAGCAGCTACTAGCAGCTAAATTAATAGCAGCTAAATTGGAGTACAACATATGTGTGATTTAGGGCGTAAGGCAAGTAGACCAGAAAAAGTTTTTTATAGCTCCATTCACTTGGATTCTTTTGTTTATTTTTATTTTTTCTCATTTAGGGGACCCACAAGTTGACCAGGAAGGGGAGGAGACTTAGGCTCCCCATAATGAAATAAAATTGGCCCTTGCCACCTGTAGATCCTCCAGCAGACATGTATAGAACAGGTTTCTGATGAAAATACTAATACTAAGTCTCCATTTGGCCAGAAGTGGCTTGATGCACATTTGTGACAACAACAGTCAGTAAATTTCTCTCACAGGAAGGGAAAAAAAGTTTACAATCCAGAGATACTCATCACCCCACAACATCCAATCAGCAGGCTGATTAATGGACTCATCATCAGTTATGATGCACAGATGAAATTTAAAGAGCAGCTCTTACCAATCACTACCATGACTGTCTTGATGAGCTTGATGGGAGTCTTCTTGCGGTTGACTGAGCTGTTAGTGTGCTTTGAGAGCGTTGCTGTCTTCCTCTTTACGTAGAGGAAGATTCTCGTGTAGACGACCACCATAACGATGAAAACAACCAAGTTGGAAATCGACCAGAAGACCAAGTAGCTCCTGCTGAAGAGGGGAGCAAGCTGGGAGCAGGTATCGAGGCTGCAGATACAGTTCCAGCCCAGGCTGGGCACAGCGCCCATTATTATGGAGATGGTCCAAACTGCAAAGATCAGCAGGGTTACCCTCCTTTTTGTCAGGTTGCTATGAACTTTCCAGTTAAGAACAGAAATGTAGCGCTCCAGAGCTATGACAAGTAGGTTAGCGAGCGAGGCTGAGAGGCTGACATCCAGCAGTCCTTGGCGGACAAAGTAATGTGTGACTGAAAGCGTCCTCGACACATTACCTGTGTTAAACATGAGGTAAACGTAAGCTATGCCTGCGAGGAAGTCCGAGGCAGCGAGGTTTGACAGAAGGTAGTAGAAAGGAAAGTGAAATTTCCTGTTGGTGATGACAGCAGCTATGACCAAAGAGTTGGCTGCCAGGATGAAGAAGCAGAAGAGAGAACCCACAACTTGGACCAGGATGAGCTGCGTTTTGTCCCATTCATCTTTCTGTCCACTGTTGTTGTAGAAGAAGCCCATGGACTCATTATAATGGCAGCTTAAGTACTGCTGTGCCATTTTACCGGCAGCTCTGTAAAATGAAAACACCCCAACTTAGAATGTGAAACAATTGATCATGTAAAAACACAGTTTTAAATTCAACTTTATTCATATTTTTATTACATTTGCAATTGTCTCTAAATTGTTGCTTTGTGAGTCAATATCTGTGGGTACTCCTGTTTCAGGAAGTAGACGTTAGCTGGAGGAGTGAGGAGCAGAAAACAGCAGGATTTGGAGTCTTACTCGTTATTTCCTGATATTCAGACATCTCTCCTGTGATTGGCTAACAGCAGCACAACTCTACCACTGACCCCTTTATTTTGCAATGCTGATGTTTTATCTCCACAAATAACACACGTCTAAAAGAGTTTGGCTGCGCTGTGATGTGGTGAATGTTAGTGGTTAGCTTCTACTAATTGAGGTGTTCTCTGTGGTTTCATGGATGCTAAACCCCCCGTCATGTGCCACGATGGGTGAATCCATAAAAGATGAAATGTGGAGTTTACCCCTTTCAGGAATTATGCATGATTTTTCACAAATGCATAAAAGTGATTGTCTTATATAATGTTGGCAATTTGATTTTTTATTTTTTATTTTTTTTTGCTAATCCTGCCCCTTTTCCCGTAGAGCTCCATGCAATATGAACTGAGTGACAGTCAGCACTAACCAATAGCGTTAGACTATCGCTTAGGTGCAAATTTAAATCACAGAGCACGCACGAGCGTTTGATGATGTCTCTCGGCTGATGCAGAATTGGCAACCTTTCTTCGCAAGTCAAAATTACACGAGCATAATAATTTTAAAACGATGTGTTTTAGCTTTGTTTGTTGGTTGAAGGAGCGCATTCATGAATGAGAGGCGTTGATTTCAGCTGTAAATACGTAAGAGAAAACCACAGCTTGGTGCGTTATGTTTGTCAGCCACTAGATGGTGGTATCAGATAAAAGTTTCCAGAGTTGCACTTAAAGAGACAATGTGACATAGAGCTGTCATGCTTTTCTGAACCAAGCATTTTTACATCTATTTTCTATCAGAACCAAATGTAGGAAAGAGGCGTAGAAGGCTAAACACCTAAAAAGTTCCTGAGCATGGATGTCTGCAGCTCACCACTCCCCATGGGGATGCAACTAATGCAGAGATGTAATTTCACCTGTGTGTGACGAGTCGACTATTATTTTCTTGTTCTGCCTGCATGTTAAATTCAGAGTGACTGCAGTATTCAAAAATAAGTAAAAAAAAGTTTCTCAGTTAACCTTCTCTTAAAGCCTTTCCTGTATAAATCACTGATCACATAATTAGCCATGTTTATGCAGCAAAGCTAAAACAGAAACAGTCATAATTAGAATACAGTATCATTACTTTGTGTTCATTCTCTATTAATCATACGTGCTGTTTAAATGTTTTGCAAAGGGTTTGAACTCTATTTGAGGAACTCGAGCAATGAAAAATGCAACATAAACTGAAGAGCTGATAATTTTAACAGACCGGTGCATTGTTCTGGGTTTCTTTAAATGACTGCAAGAAATTCCACTGAGAATATTCACACTGAATCAGACTCACAGGGGTAACTGCTTTGTTTGACCTCTGAGGTTTCACTATAGCATTTAACCTGAGCAGTGTTTCAAAGGAAGAAAATTTGGATCTGAACACATCTTGTTGAACAAACACTGACTTGAGCGCAGATCTGTGCCGAGATAAAGGTTTACTCAATGGTTTCATTCATTACGCAACTGGATAAAAGAATATTGCGGTGAAACAAAGACATTTGTTCAGAAAAATAAACTAATTAAGACAGAGAGAGCTTTATTCTAACAAACATAAGATGATTTAATTATATGAGTAAATAAGCAAGCGAGTTTACCTGCGAGGACGGACTTTTTCCTGTGTACCTTAGACTAAAAGTTGTGAAATCTTCCGTGTTGAGAAGAAACCCATTGGAGCGGTTCTGCTGGCAGCTACGATCGGGGGAAGTGACAGAAGCAAGACGAGACTGAAGGAGTAAAAGAGGTTTCAGCGCGGTGACGCACAGGGCGTGAACCACCCACACTCAGCTGAGACCACAGGGGCCAGCGCGTTTACGCACCAGCCAACCGACCACCAACATTTAACTACTTTAACCAAGGTAAACTACTCACATTAACATAAAAAACACATCTTCTTGCACGGGATGAGGTCTAGAGGTTCTAATGGCACCTGCTCAAAGCCGTGAGACGTTCAAGGACCCATTACAAGGTTGCGGAGCTATGAGTATGAAAAAAAACACCTTTATTCCTGCTGAAGCGATCCAGATAATTAAACTAAAAGAAATGGGTGTGTGGCAAGTTTTAGCACAGGCACGTCTAAAATGTGATTCTGTGAGCCCTCCCAACTGCTGAAGTAGAAAACATTTTTATATTCCGAGTTTTACTCATTTGAGTCGTTTTTTGGGAATACAAATAAAACAAATAAAATATGTTTCGATTTATTTTTTAATAATGACATCTGTGTGGACCAAGAGGAATTTTGACTTGATGGTTTTGTTATGACAGATTTGGACAGCCCTGGTTTACACTCATTCAGCTTGATAAATTTAGTGTATGTTTATGCTTACCTCCTTGGATTTAATATTGCATTAATTTAGGGATTTCATGCCCTTCATACAGCTGCTGTCTCTTTGTGGGTCTTCTGGGGCTCATCTAAGATTTTCAAAACCTTTTTGTTTTATCATGTATTAATTTACAGCACGTTTTTATGCTGTTTTCTAAATTTAGATTGTTCCGTTTCTTTAGTATCGCTTGAATAAAGAGTCACAGCTAAATAAAAATAGCCAGTTATGGTCTGACATGCTACAAGAAATAATTTTCTTCCCCAACACTGGAAAACAAGATAATTTGTTGCTCCAAGTAACTTGTTTTGGACATAATGAACCCGTTACTGAAAAGTTTCTTCTAACACTGTTTTCAAAAGGAAAACAATCTGGTCGTGTTCCTAAAAGATTTTAATTCATTGTTCTCAACAAAAATTGATTCAGAAATAAATATTACTCATGTTAAAGCATTTAGTCGTCTCTATATTAGATACTAAATTATTCAGATATTTTGGTGAGATAATATGTCAAGCAACATTTATTTCCCTCAGATTTGTATCAATCCACAGACAATGTGTCTAATTAGCTTGCATCCATTTCCCACTTTGCCAACTAATCTGAATCCTCCTCCCACTGCAGTTTCTTGCAGGTCTGAAAAAAACAGGATCTAATAATTTTATTTGACTGCAACCCTTTTTTGTGCCATTTTACTGTAGGTTTCATTCATCAAACAAAAATCTACTTGTTGTAATACCACATTTACTGCAAAATTACTTTGAACTGCAGAAAATGCATTACATGCAGCATGTGCAGAGGTAAAAGAAAAAATGGCTCAGCAGACGTTTACAAAACACCCTGAATTCCTAATCTTAACATTTTAAAAGGTAAAGTTCCAGATTAATGTTCAGTAGGAGGAATTATGGCTCATGTTACACTTCGAAGGTTGTGCACGTTAAACTTTATGGTTTCCAGGACTTAGTGGAGGGAGCTTGAGATTTGCAAAACTGTATCAGATAATTAAATCACTGTTCCAAGCATCATCCTCCCTGGACCAGTTTATCTGAAACAAAACTCTCAGCTAAGCAGGATGACATCATCATTTCTGGAAGTATGCAACACACACACATGCATGCATACACACATACATAATATGTTGTTTATTGAAGGGAAACTCCGGCATATTTGCCACACTAAGTCAAAACCTTGAATGATGGTTTCAAGTATATTTATTGTATAAAACTTTAATTAAAGTAGGACCAGACAGGCTGGTCCACTTTAGAAACTGCAGATCAGCTGCAATTTTCACTCACAAAATGGTAGAAAAAAAGGAAATGTCCAGTGAGCAGCAGTTATGTAGACAAAAACTCAAACGAACTGGTCCACATGAGACACATGGTTTAGGCTGGTTCAGGCTGCTGTGTAATGTGGGGGAGATGTTCTTGTATCACTTTGGACCCATCAGTACCACCTCAGGCTGGTTTAAACACCAAAGCCTATTAGAGCTTTGTTGTCTGTCACTTTATGATCACAGTGAACCCATCTTCTGATGGGTTCATCCAGCTAGATAACACACCATGTCACAGCTCAGATCATCTCCAACTGTTTCTTGAACATGGTGATAAGTTTACTGGACTCCTGCAGCCTCCATAGTCACTAGATCTCAATCCAGTCCAGAACCTATGGGATATGTTGGAATGGGCGATTCACATAATGGCTGTGCAGCTGTAAAATCTGCAGCAACAGTTATGTAAATATGGACCAGAACCTTTAAGGAATGTTTCAGAGTCCATGACTTGGAAAATGAAGGCAGTTCTGAAGTCAAAAGAGAGTTTCATAAAGTACTACTGGCCTGGGTGTCTGGTGAGAATAAAACCCACATCAATTACTTTATAAAACAATTAATAAATAAAAATGCTGGGCTACGATATAGAAACTGATAGAGGGGGGGGGGGGGGGGGGGAACGTCCAAATACTAATTAACTAGCTTGTTTTAACATAAATTGTGTTTTGCCTGTAGATATGGTATACAACGGCAAACTTTGGCATCAGATGCCTACACAAGATCTCCTTTTGTGATCAAGCTTAAATAGCTAAAAATGAAAGTAGATCTAAAATACATTTTCACAGGTTTAAAACATTTTAGACACATCCCAAAAGATCCTGACCTTACAGAATCCTTCAATTGTGCACGCGCACGCGCACACACACAGACACATTAAACACCAAGATGATTTAGAACCATTAAGAACTATAGAAGCACCAAGTTTGCTCATGTCAAGCGTTGTTTTACAATGTTTTTATTTTAAAAAGTTTTTATTTTATTTTGTTAAAAGAAAAACTCTTGGTTTTGGTGCTCTTTTTTTTTTTTTTGCAGACAGTTATTACAGGTATAAGAGTGTAGTTGAACCCATTTAACCCTTAGAAGATCATTCTTTCACTTCCACAAACCTGTACCCTTTGCAGACATTGATATTTCAAAGAAGTTGTGCCCATGAAACTCATGGAAAACAAAACTAAATTATTCTACTTGCTGAATTTATGAAATTGTTTGCATTCTCTTTTGCCCATGACTTTCAGCAGTTTTATCCTTGCTAACGCATAATTCTTAGCCAGACTGCTGTGGCTTTATTTGCGCTAATTGTTTTTTGAGAAGGACCTGTAGTAGGTCTCACGCAGGTTTGACTTTTTGGCATGCTACTTTTGATGACCCAAGCAATTTTTATTCAACTACAAGGAAAATGTTGGTTTATATTCTAGCCCTCCTTTAAGATGTATTATGTAAGAATGCAATCCTGTGGTCAAACTTGATTACTGCAGCTCATTTTCAAAACAAAAAGGGTCTTGCTCCTGTTCAGTCAAGGTCTGTTGCCAGCTGCAGCTCAGCACCAGAACATTCTAGATGACAAGCGAAAACAAGGCATACACAGTGATTTTAAGTAGATTAATACATTTCACTAATATCGAGTTGTTGATAACTGAAAAAGTAGCTTGAGATATTTTTAGAGGCAACAATTTTTTTCTAATTCACCGTTAGTTCAATGTTGGCCTCTAGAATCCTTCACTCAGTATTAAGAGTAAAACAAATGAGGCAGTGGCTTGTTAGGGGTACAAGAAATAACGTCAATTTAGGATTAGCTCAAATTTCGAATGCCGGCGCTGCAGCATTAGCCAGCACAGACATAGCAACCCCTCTGACTCAAAAATTTAAACAGTGACAACATCCCTCTCTAGCAATTTTATTTTAATAAGGAAACCCTCCAGCCAGCTGAGAAGGAAATCGGTTTCAACGCAACCTTCCAACATCATCGAGACAGAGTTTTCAGATTACGTCATTGTAAAATTCTTACATATTGTACCTTTAATTTGACAACTAAATGACGTTTGTTGTGATATTCTTAAAAGTTGCCTCTTTTGTTGCTTCCTGTTTTATTTTAATTTATCCAACTTGTTTTAAGAACTCTTATGAAGAATTATATAAATAGAAACCATAGTCCCTCACCCAGACGTGGGTCACCAGGGCCCCCCTCTGGAGCCAGGCCTGGAGGTGAGGCACGTTGGCGAGCGCCTGGTGGCCGGGCTTTCACCCATCGAGCCCAGCCGGGCACAGCCCAAAGAGCAAACGTGGGTCCCCCTTCCCATGGGCTCACCACTCGTGGGAGGGGCCAAAGGGGTCGGGTGCAGTGTGTGATGGGTGGTAGTCGAGGGCGGGGACCTTGGCGGTCTGATCCTCGGCTACAGAAGCTGGCTCTTGGCACATGGAATGTAACCTCTCTGGTGGGGAAGGAGCCCGAGTTGGTGTGTGAGGTTGAGAGGTTCCCACTAGACATAGACGGAATCACCTCAATGCATGGCTCTGACTCTGGAACCAGTTTCCTTAAGAGGGGTTGGACTTTCTACCATTCTGGAGTTGCTCCCACTGAGAGGCGCCGAGCAGGGGTGGGCATACTAGTTGCCCCCCATCTTGATGCCTGTACGTTGGGGTTTACCCCAGTGAATGAGAGGGTAGCCTCCCTCCGCCTATGTGTGGGGGGACGGGTTCTGACTGTGGTCTGTGCTTATGCACCAAACTACAGTTCAGACTACCCACCCTTTTTGGAGACCTTGGAGGGGGTGCTGGAAAACGCTCCTTCCGGTGACTCCCTCGTTCTGCTGAGGGACTTTAACGCTCACGTGGGCAATGACAGTGAGACCTGGAGAGGTGTGGTTGGGAGGAACGACCCCCCCGATCTGAATTCGAGTGGTGTTTTGTTATTGGACTTCTGTGCCAGTCATGGATTGTCCATAAAGAACACCATGTTCAGACATAAAGGTGCTCTTGGCACCAGGATACCTTAGGCCGCAGCTCGATGATCGACTTTGTTGTTGTTTCATCTGACCTGCGTCCGCATGTCTTGGACACTCGGGTGATGAGAGGGGCGGAGCTGTCAACTGACCACTGCCTGGTGGTGAGTTGGCTCAGAAGGTGGGGGCGGATGCCGGTCAGACCAGGCAGGCCCAAACGTATCGGGAGGGTCTGCTGGGAACGTCTGGCAGAGTCTCCTGTCAGAAGGAGCTTCAATTCCCACCTCCGACAGAACTTCCAAAATGTTCCGGGGGAGGTGGGGCACATTGAGTCTGAATGGACCCTGTTCTGTGCCTCCATTGTTGAGGCGGCCGACCAGAGCTGTGGTCGCAGGATCGTCGGTGCCTGTCGTGGTGGCAACCCCCAAACCCGCTGGTGGACACCGGTGGTTAGGGATGCTGTCAAGCTGAAGAAAGAGTCCTATCAGGACTTTTTGGCCTGTGGGACTCCAGAGGCAGCTGACGGGTACCAGCAGTCCAAGTAGAATGTGGCTCGGGTGGTCACCAAGGCAAAAACCCGGGCATGGGAGGAGTTCGTGAGACCATGGAGCAAGACTTCCGTACAGCTTCGAGGAGATTCTGGTCCACCATCCAGTGCCTTGGGGGGGAGTGCGCTACCAACAGTATCTATAGTGGGGACGGTGTGCTGCTGACCTCTACTCAGGACGTTGTGGATCGGTGGGCAGAGTACTTCGAAGACCTCAATCCCAACGACACGTCTTCCAGTGAGGAAGCAGAGTCTGGGGACTTTGGGTTGGCCTCTCAAATCTCTGGTGCTGAGGTCACTGAGGTGGTTAAAAAGCTCCTCTGTGCCAAGGCTCCAGGGGTGGATGAGATCCGCCCAGAGTTCCTTAACGCTCTGGATGTTGTGGGGCTGTGTTGGCTGCAATATCACGTGGACATCGAGGGCAGTCCCACTGGACTGGCAGACCGGGGTGGTGGTTCCCTTATTTAAAAAGAGGGACCGCAGGGTGTGTTCCAACTACAGGGGGATCACACTCTTGAGCCTTCCTGGTAAGGTCTATTCAGGGGTTCTGGGAAGGAGGATCCGTCGGATTGTTGAACCTCAGATTCAGGAGGAGCAATGTGATTTTAGTCCTGGCCGTGGAACACTGGACCAGCTTTATACCCTTAGGGGGGTCCTGGAGGGTGCATGGGAATTTGCCCAACCAGTCTACATGTGTTTTGTGGATTTGGAGAAGGTGTTTGACTGCGTCCCTCGGGAGGCCCTGTGGGGGGTACTCTGGGAGTATGGGGTAGCAGGCCCTCTGATACGGGCTGTTAGGTCCCTGTATGACCGGTGTCAGAGCTTGGTCCGTATTGCCGGCAGTAAGTCGGGCTCGTTCCCAGTGAGAGGTGGACTCTGCCAAGGCTGCCCTTTGTCACTGATTCTGTTCATAACCTTTATGGACAGGATTTCTAGGTGCAGCCAAGGTGTGGAGGGCATCCGTTTTGGTGGCCTGAGGATCAGGTCTCTGCTTTTTGCAGATGATGTGGTCCTGTTGGCTACATCAGAACATGATCTTCAGCTTTCGCTGGAGCAGTTTGCAGCTGAGTGAGAAGCAACTGGGATGAGAATAAGCTCCTAAATCTGAGACCATGGTCTTGATTTGGAAAAGGGTAGAATGCCTTCTCCGGGTCAGGGATGAGGTTGTGCCCCAAGTGGAGGAGTTTAAGTATCTCGGAGTCTTGTTCACGAGTGAGGGAAAACTGGAGCGTGAGATCGATAGGAGGATTGGTGCTGCATCTGCAGTGATACGGGCGCTGTACCGGTCTGTCGAGGTGAAGAGAGAGCTGAGTCAGAAGGCAAAGCTCTCGATTTACCGGTCGTTCTACGTTCCTACCCTCACCCAAGGTCATGAGCTTTGGGTAGTGATCGAAAGAACGAAATCGTGGATACAAGCGGCCGAAATGATTTTCTCCGAAGAGTGGCTGGGCTCTCCCTTAGAGATAGGGTGAGAAGCTTGGTCATTCGGGAGGGGCTCGGAGTAGACCCGCTGCTCCTCCACATCGAGAGGAGTCAGTTGAGGTGGCTCGGGCATCTGGTCAGGATGCCTCCTGGACGCCTCCCTGGTGAGGTTTCCCGGGCACGTCCAACCAGGAGGAGACCTAAAAGTAGACCCAGGACACGGTGGAGGGACTGTCTTTCTCCTGGCCAGGGAAAGCCTTGGGATTCCCCCGGAGGAGCTGGCCCAAGTGGCTGGGGAGAGGGAAGTCTGGGACTCTCGCCTTAGGCTACTGCCACCGCGACCCGACTCCGGATAAGCGGATGAAAATGGATGGATGGATGGATGGATGGATGGATGGATGGATGGATGTTTTTTTTAGTGCACAGCTCATACTTTGCAAACTACTGGAGTAAAAAAATAAATAAACAGAAGCAATATACAGCTAATTATGTGTGGATAAAATTTCATCCAGGAGGACATCGTGTTTGCTCATCCAATTTCTGCTTGCACATAGAGACAAAGGCGCTCATAAAAAAAATTCAATTTAGTCAGATAAGAGGCAGCGACTGTCTCCACTGACTCCATGTTCAGTTGCTGAGAATGACATAATGGCATGGTAACTGAACTGGAGCTACACTTCCTTACACACTTACAGATCTGGAAGAGAAAACGATGACAGTCCGGAGATTAACAACTCTGGAAGATGCAGGGAGGAATCCTGAGTCACAGACTTAATGACTTGTCAAATGATAATAAAATGGGCCTCGGAGTGGAAACTGCTGCTAGTATAAACACACAAAGTTTACCTTACTATAAATTTATTTTACAGTGTTTACAAACATTTGAAGCTCCTTTACAATTCTGGCGAAAACAGCATCTTTTTACACCACAGAACATAGTTTTCTCAGTAAACACAAAAGCATTTTCCTGAACAACTATAAGCTTAATAGGGAAATTTAAGAATAAAATTGTTTAATGCAATCTTCCAGTCACTGTTGAGACTGGTTCTGTAGACAATTATAGTTACATTAAGGACAGACTCATAAGATGACTTTGCAACAGTCATCATCTGACATCTGATTTTAAAAAATGAAAAGAAAGAGGAACCGATGTTAGGTAATTTGGATAAAACTAAAACGTAGGGGCATTCTAACCCACATGATTCTTTCACTTCTCACACATTATTCAGACGGTGAACATAACCACAGCAGTAAAACAAGAGAGCTCTAGCGTAAGTGGAGCAGGGAGGTGGTGGTAGTAACTGGGGTGGGGGTGGTGGGTTCTTCCCCATGTTCTGCTTAGCCCCAGAGTAACTCTGTAATCTGCCCATCACTGGGTGTGTCCACATAGCTCCCACCACTAATTCCACTGCTCTCAGGCGGAGGGAGACGGAGCCAGACCACAGCGTGGGGGAAATCTTGCTGATGATAGGGATTGGATCATTGGAAAGGAATGCACAGAAAACCGGACGTATAGAAAAAGACAAGTCATTAAGCAAGGTGCAAGATGTGCAAAAACAAACATTTACAATCATTTCATTGCATAGATGTTACAAATTTTCTAATTTCGTACATAAATACTAATAAATCTGATAAAAATAGGTAGATTTTTTTGTTAGAATTAAAATGGATTTTATAGGATTCTGCAGCAACAAAATAGGCACTCCGGTTGTAAATATTTTAAAGTCCTCATAAATTTCAACTATGCTTAAATGAGAGCCAGGTACTAAATGCTGAGCCTCCTATGATCTGATCACATAACTTTTCTTTAATTATTCAATAAAAATGCTACTTATTCTTTTGTGCCAAATCTATACATATCTTTTGTCTGACCCAATTTAGGATTTTAAATGATTGCTCAGTTCAACTGAACAATCAAATAAGGTGCATAAACTGAGAATGTCACTTTGAGTGGCGACAGGTCAGACCTAACTACACCCAGCAATGAGATCTCCAGCATGTGCGTCTGAAACGCTCAACCAAGTGAGCTTCAGTGGAGAGGTGCTTTAGGTAGTGACTTGTTTCAAAAGAACCAAGGTTAAGGCTTCAAGTCATATGATGACATAGATCCCTGATGTCAGACTGACATGAACACAGAATCACTAAAACTACTTTATAGGCATAAATTTGCACCATTTCCCAAAACAGCCAGCTTGATGGTGTAGAGACTGCCAGTCATTTCAATCCCGCTGTCTTTTCTGCTAAATCTGCTTGAGATTTATGGCACCAAGAATCCCCTGAAGCACATTCTTTCAACACGAGTGCAAACAAACAGATCAAGGACTCAAACTCATGGATGACTGGCAATTTCTTTCAAATATTCTCCTTTTCCTTAACAATTAAGTGGAACTGTTAGCCACTAAATCAAAGGCTTTCAATAACAGAAAATGTACTAAAAATGAGGGATCTAAGGGCAACTGTGGAAAAGATGGATAAGTTATTTAGCAATTTATTGCACAAACAATCATAACTTAGACAATGTTCCCAGACTGGAATGACTCAACCAAACATCCCTTAGCCCTCCACGAGTCTGCACCTCTGAAGAATATCAAACATCATAATAAGTAAGCTTAAGACAATCTTCTTAGAGGGAGCATAACAAGTCTGTGTCGGTGTGTTCAGATCTGAAGAAAAATAGAATCCATTGTTTTTCTTCTGTCTAGAAGTTCAGGGGGCTACCACAACCCAAACACATCTTGTTACAGGAACGTCAAAAGCTTGTGACTTGTGTGAATCTGAGCACCTCAGTAAAGATGGACAACTACTGCAGCATCTTAACATCGATGTGAGCGCCGTCGTACCGTCTGCAGTAGCAGCAGTAGCACATAGAGTCTCTGAGCTCAACATCTGTGTGGCCGTTGTCTGTAACAGGGAAGTCTTTATGCTCTTGGAGGAATTTCTGCAGGTCTGTCAGTGGGAACCCATCCCTCTGGTAGTTCTGTAGGCATGAAGGCATTACACATTTTAAAAATCTTAGAGCTAAATCCATCAGGTGAGATTAAAAAAATTCAATATCTGTGTTAAAAATAGGACTTGTTCAACGCTAATGACTAACCAGTCATTTGATAACATTATCATTTTTTAAGCCTTTAAACAAAGTTAAGTTCAAACCAGATCATGGGCTTTAATTACATAGGTAATTTCCCCTACAACCCAGGTTTTGTTTAATTTTACTATTCATGTTTTAAGTTTACCGCCATAAATCATGAATGAGAAAAGAAACTGCACAGTTTTCCATTTACTTTGTTTCGAGTGGTCAGAAAGTTTCTTCTGACCACTTCTATTGATTTCTCCAAAACTTAGTTACAGCTATTAAAGCTGGGGTACACATTTTAGAATTTTAAAATAACTTCAGAAATGCTTAAATGTGACTGACCCTGTTCTATGATTTAAAGTAGGTCATCTTTCATAATGTATACTTCCTTTAAGTCCCTCCTCCTCCACCGCATTGGCCATGTTCAAGATGAGCCAGTTCTGCGCAGATTAGATCACTGGTGATCAGCACGCAGTGCATGCTGGTTAGATTTGTGTCTGACTTAACGCCAACTTGCTCGGACGTCATGCCTCAACCTGCCTTTAAACTTTAAGCTAACTGTGGAAGAGAAGGGAGGGGAACAAATATGGATTTATCATTTGTGTATTGGAGCCAAGTGATTAGCGCAGCATCCAACTTTACACCGGATGTGTAAGTGGTTTTTCTTTTTTTTTTTGTCCCCCGTGTCTTGTCTTGCTGTGAAGTAAACAGAATTGATGTCCGAATGCCGGTGACAAGCCTTACAGATTTACTCTCAGGTGGAGCATCAAAGCGTCTGCTTTTAATGTCACGCCTGATACTTAAAACTTTATTGTTATTGTTTTTGAATGCTTTTTAATTCCGACCAGACATGGAGTCAGAGGTGAAAGAGAAAGGAAAAGATAAAAGGTGGGGGTGGGGGGTTCCACAAAAATAAACAACAATGAGCAAGAGTCTGCTTCTAGACCTGCAGAAACAGAAGAAAAAAAACACAAAAACAAAAAAAAAAAAGGGACACAACAACAATTCAACAAGATCAACCATTACCGGTTCCCAGAGTTCGACCCCTTCTACTGGGGTGCTGATGAGCAGGCTCCCTAGCCCAACGCTGAGCACGGCAACCCACCACCCCAGACCCCAACCGGACGGCTGGATCTCCCTCCTAGCCTCCAGCCCCAGGAAGCCAAGCGACAACAGAGGTGTGCTAAGACCCCTAGTGTCCCTCCGCCTGCTCCAAAATGGTGTTAGTGAGTGTTGATGAGGTGTATTCCATGGCTGTGGTGAGCGGGCAGTGGTGGCATCGTCTGGCCTATGCCAGCTGATGCCACCACACCACCCCACTTGCACCCACAGCCCTCAGTGTCTAAAAGCAGTTTAAAATTGGAAGTGGGCACCAGCACTTGGGATGAGGCTGAGAAATCCCCCTGCCAAGTGCCGTTGGATGTGCTCACTCCCAAGGCCCTAAGTGTGTGTTTGCGTGGAATGTCGTTGGTGGAAGTGTTTAAGGTGCAGATAAAATTGGGGGGCAGGTTGCCACAGGAATGCGGAAATGGGGTCCATACCCGCACTCCCTGATGTGTCCACCCCCCAAGGTCCTATGTGCATGTTTGTGTGATGAAGAGAGGGAGCAGGAGGAGAGAAATGTGTGGGGATGGGGAGGAATGGCTGGTTGGGCCCTCCAGGGAGCCAGCTCCCCCACCGGATGTGTAAGTGTTGCATAACATTTGCTAAACAGCCTGCAGCAATTAGCTGCCATTATAATGGATGGGTATGTTTCCATCAGGAGCGATGAGTTATGTTTTGGAAAAATCCCAGAAGCATAGTGACCCATTACTTATGCTCTCAGTCTGTTTTTGTACATACTACCTTTCCCCGATTGATTCAAAACCAGACAGGAAGTCAAACAAAAGCAGTTAACCACATCCACATCCAGAATCTTTCAAAATAAAAGTTATACAGATTTCCAGTTATAGAAAATATAACTTGTCTGCTACAAGGCTATTTGTGTGATGATGATTAGGTGTGGTTTTCAGCTCCTTTAAGAAATGGGAGCAGGGGTGGGAGCTATAGCCTGTCAATTTTCTAAATCTCCTCTCCTTGAGGACATCACGCTATGGTCCCCAGCTTTAAGAGTTTCTCTGGAAAGGCTTTGAGCCACTTACTTTCTGAATCTTTAGTTGTCTCTTTGCAAGACCCAGACAACAAACTGCACTTAATACCCCATTCCAATTTCATTTATGAGAGTTACCTTAATGGTCTCGTAGGAGTCAGTGATGAGGGCGATGAAGAGTGATAGCACCATGTAGATGAAGAGAGAGATGAAGGAGTAGAGGTAAGCCCGACTGAAGAGCCATACCAAAGTGTTGGTGTCCTTCAGCTGGGCAAAGGTGGTGAACATGTCATCTCCGTTCAGCAAAGAGAAGAGACATTCTGCAACCCGACTCAGGCCCTCAAACTAAAAAGAAGAAGAAGAAGAAAATATCATTTCTAAAGCGCCGCTCAAGATAAAAATTACAAGGCGCTTCACAAAAACAAAATGTAAAAATATAAAGAAGCATTTAGAAAATGTTTAAAAATATATTTAAAATGAGCAAAAATAGGCAATTGATTTAAAAAAATGTTAGAGTGAATAGGAAAGAGGGAAATCAGTGGATCCTGAGGAAGGTGGAATAGGTGGGGAGAGCAGAATAAAGAGAGAGTGGTTGAAGAAGGTCATACAAAAAGAAGCAGGAGGAAAATGTTAATCCTTTTATATTTTCACCTTTCACCCCAAACAAACCTTTTCTGAAGTATTTGGATGGAACCTTTTAGCTATACGTGTACCTTATGATAGAAACCATGTTCTGCTAGAAATAACATGACAAGCCATTTAAAATCAACATCTCCCTGTGATGCTAGGGACCCAGGGCACAGCATTGAAAGCCAGGTTTTAGCACATTTTCTGTTTATTTCTTCGGTAAATACTATGAGGATCTTGGAAAGTCTAACAGTGCACAGCAGGGGACTCCCGGGACACTACACTGTAAACTTCCCGTTTGCATTGATATTTGTTACTCCAACTAAACAGAAGTGAAACAGCTGCTAGCATGTACACACAGCTGGTCACAAAGCTTTGATTTTCCAAATGATTCAAACTAAGCCAACTTTGTGACGCCGAGGTCACACAAGTCTAAACAATTTAATTTAGTACTTTAAAAAAAAGACTTGTTTTAAAGCACATCTGCAGTCAGACTTCCGACAACCATTTATCCCATCGGACATAGTGACTCATTTCCCCTGATGGGAGTTGGTGTCAGAGGATCGCCCAGTCAAGCAGTCATAAATCTGATAGCTTTATATTGACAAAGTGCCAGGATACAGATAATGCAGTTTTGCATCTTATTGCTTTTTGCCTAAATTAGTTTTCAGACTGTAAAATTATGTGGTTTTTAATCTTGAATGCATCTAAATTACACCCATTACAAATGGATTAACTGAACAGCCAATCTGATAGAATTTTTCGTGGTTTCTAATCTGCTCATCACAGAACAGGATCAAGTCATCTCCCATTTCTCAAATTTTTCTCCCACTTTTGCCTAATTAACATCATTCTAATTTTATTAAGTCGAATGCTTAAATTAAGTTTTAAAAGTGTTTTAATGTTGGCGTGTGTGGCAACACTTCCTCAGACTCCGTGACTGAAGTCAGGGGGCTAATTGAAAGCATGTACTGACACCTGGTGGCTGAACTGAAGGAGTACAGCATCTTACAGACCGGTGAAGGTTTTCATTCATCCCTGATGTGGTTATAATGCTAGGTTAAAACAAAAAAAAATATTCTCCATCATGATTCTCATCTAAAAACCTTTAGGATGAGGGAGATGGGAGTTATCTGCGAGTTGGCACGCAACAATGGAGCGCTGATTACAATTTTTAAGATTTTTGTCTGATTTGAGAAATCTTTGGAAAATCACCAAAGTGTTTAATCCTCCCACTGTCTTTATGGGTGACCCTGCGAGGAAAGTAAACCACTGAGCAGGATTGATGATTTATCCCCTGAGATCCACGTGGCAGGGGTGATGTGGTGCTCACTCCTCACCCCTGCTACATGGACCTCACGGGATAAACCATCAACCCTGCTCAATGGTCAACTTGCCTCGCGGGGTCACACCCATTAGGACAGTGGGAGGGTTAACCGTTTTTAATTTAAGGTAGCATTATCTTAAAAGAAGGTGAAAGCTCGGTGGTCTGAAAACATGAGGCCATTTATGTAGTTTTCCTCATGGAGCGAACTGCAGAAGCAAGGACACAACGATTGCTGAAGTTTGTCTAAAATGAAGCGAGTTTCTGCAAAAACTCAAACACAACCGCTTTGATTAAAGTAATCAACCATGTGATTATTGGGATGATTGCTTCACAAACTTTGCAGAACATTCAGCGAGTTTTTAATTGTTCCTTACATAATGACTAGTGTGAGGGATTTCAGGGACATCAAAACAAAAAGAAAAAGCAGACATTTGGAGAAGGCGATCCTTTGGGGTCTCAGCATTTCTGCATGAACAAACACGATTAGTCACTTCACAGTTCCTCTGAAGGAAGTTTCCCCACACCTCTCAGCAAGACTCGGTGCACAAATTCAGACCAGCAACACTGAGTTTCAGAAAGCAGAAGTAGGCGAGACCCGAGGGTCTGAGTTACCTTCTCGTGGTATGGTCCCAGTACAATCCATCCACAGAATGTATAACCAAGGTAGATCATGCCAGCACAGCAGCAGAAACGCAGAACTTTAGGGAAAGCTGCTTTCAAGGTTAAAATCAGGACCTAAAAACACAAGCATTTGCCAATTTTAATAAAAGAAAGATGACAAAAGATGACTGAAAGCTCTAAAATATCTTCAGTTCCTCCATCAACAATTCAAGCTCACATTATATTTCTGGAAGTATCCCAGGTACCTGATCACACCGACCCAAACCAATAACGTAGATGTTCCCAGGAAGATGCTGCACACATCGTAACTTGTCAAACTCTACAAAAACCAAAAAGTATATATTTCACAAAGAACAATGCGAAAGTAGCGTCAGGAAAAATTACTTTATAATGAAATTCTAAAAGAAGTAAATGGCTTGTATTGATATAGCACCTTCTAAGGTTCTACAACACCCCCCCCCCCCCACCCCCACCCCCACCCACCCCCCACCCCCCAAGGGTACTTTACAACACTGTCATTCACTCATGCACATGTGGGCGCAGTGGCTCAGGGGTTAGGAGTTATCCCTGTAAGCCAGGCTCCTGCAGTCGTCATGCTCTGGAGTCCTCTGACTCAGAAAGGTGCTATACAAGTGAAGGTCGTTTATCATTTTACACACATTCACACACTGATGGTAATGAGCTACATGTAGCCATAAGTGCCCTAGGGACAGTAAACGAATAGGAATAAAATCAAAACATAACATGTAATTTTTTTATGTGTTTACTCAGACTTTGGAGAAATGTTAAAGCATTTGGAATGGCATGGACCTTAAAGGTCTGGAACACTCTTTCAATCAGTACATTTGCAGTGGTCTCTAGCAGGAATGAATGCCTTTAATTTGTACTCGAGTAAAACGTCCCGGTGCACCATATTCAGGAACTAGAAGTAAGCCGCATCACAGCTAAACTACTGACAGCAGGTTTTGGAGTCTTATCTTCTATTTGGACATCTCACCTCACACTAAATAACACCAACTGACTTGCAATGCGGGTGTTTTATCTACACAAATAACCCTGGAGGAGTTCTGCCATGTGGTGGAGTTGTTAATGCCAATGGTCAGCTTTGTAGGGACGTTCTCTACCGTTTCCTGGACGCTGAAACAACAGCCTTCCCCGTCGTGAGTCAAGATGGGTGAGTCTATGTTAAGTGATGTAGATCTGACAAGACTTTTCAAATCCTGTGATAAATGACCCGTACTTGTACATCACCTTTCAGAGTCAGAGTACTCCAAAGTGATTTACATTACAGTGCATCATTCATCCATTCACACGCTGATGGAGATGAGCTACAATGTAGCCACAGCTGCCCTGGGGCTCACCGATAGAGGTAAGGCTGCCGAGCACAGACGCCACCGGTTCCTCCGACCACCACCAGCAGGCAAGGTGGGCTAAGTGTCTTGCCCAATGATGCAACAGCAGAATTCTCTGTCGGGAGCCGGAATCAAACCTGCACAACCTCCTGAGCCACCGATGATCCTACAAATCCTAGAGTTTCACTATTTATCTTCTATCAGAAGCTAATGCAGGAGATAGTCTCCTACACCTATTTTCATGTTCAGCCTGCATTAAAAACTCAGTGAGCGATTATAATCAGAAATGAGATTTTAAAATGGTTTTTAGTGTTCCACACCTTTAAAACTGCATTTGGATGATTTAAAATTTTTGGAACAATCCTAAATCCTTTACTACTAATTACCTGATAAACATTTATTTGAGATCATAGATTGTTGTTTCAAATTTGATGAAGACATCCAATTTTATTTTTTTAAACTAGGACCCAATTTAAGGAAACCTAGATGGCCAGCATCAGCTTTACAGAATGAGCGCCACAAGAAGGCACAACATTGGGTGGAAAGAGAGGTTAATGTGTCAGCAAGTTACATTGAAACATGTTTTTTTAACCAGATAATACATTGTAGACAAAAAGTTACCAGAGAGGGGTTTTTCAATCCATTTTACTGCAACTCACATGTAAAAAGTTACATATTTTCACAGAAGAATCATTTGCACACATGCTCGCTGGTTTGCATGTGAAACGGCCTTCAAATGTGCCGTTTCAGGTGAACACTGCAGCAAGAGTCTGCATGCATCGGTTGTTTTTTTTAATATATTTCTAATTACTTCTAACTAAAGAATTATTGCTCCATTCCTAGCATGGTCATATTATGCATCTTAAATCAAAAAGTTACCTTTGACTGTATTTCCATCTTTAGTATGGAGCCAATTATCGCCAACACGTCGCTGATGATGACCAGCACATACCAGCCATTCAAGAACTCCTTCTGGTCGTCCTCACACACTTTACGATTAAAGTTCTCGTGAAAGAAAAGTGAGAATCTCTTAGAAAAGAGAAATAAAAAAAAACAGGACAACAATTCAAATTTTATCTGCTAAAGGATGTTTTAAATTGAATTACATTGAATTATGAAAATGCAGGACTTTATGCAAACTTTCAATGTAGGGAGGACCTGAGTAAATTACTTATAAAAAGGAAAAAGGGAAAAAACTGCTGAATATATGAAAAAACTGAAGTGTATTTGAATTTATGTCAAATTTTGTGCAGCATGAGTAGCTAACCTTGAGTAATCTAACAGCCAGGATGATGGAGCGAGTACACAGTGCAGCTGATGTGATGCAAACCAGGATGACAAAGCCATCAAACACCAGCAGATAGTGTGTGTTCTTCTCAGCTGAAACAAACCACAAAAAACGACTGCCTGAGGGAGTGAGTTTATCTCTCACACGACTCCCCAATGCTCTCTGCTGATACAAGTCTGAAAGGCAACGCCTCTCAGTCAGCAACACCGAGAAGGACAAGTCTTAACACTTGTGAGAAAAATTCTGCCTTTGTTATGTGCTACACGAGATAAAAAGTGAAATTTAGCGATCAAGTGAAACAAAAACATACACCTTACCTGTCCCTGAGATCTTCCAGTCTCGACACGCACTGCTTTCAAAATCTATGTCCAGGAATATTTTCACCAGCCCGCTGTGACACTGGTTATCGAATGTAATCTGAGGGTAAAAAGAGTTGAAAAAGATCAAAATTTGAATCTAGCTGAGAATTTATTTCCTCTTTTGGTCCCAGGATTTATTACCATGACATTGAAGGAGTAGCAGTCGGGTAGCTCCCGTGATCTAACAGTCTGCAGGTTGATTCCCTTCAGCTGGAATGTTATTTTGATGTCAACAAGCCTAAAAAATGTTTTAAAAATAAAGTAATGTATGTAAACAAGGAATTTTGTCAGCACAACACAGAAAACTGTAGATACCTGTAAAAGTCCAGATCAAAAAACGATGCATTCTGAGTTTTCCACTCTTTTGCTGTCTTTGGACCATTTGACATACAGACTACAAAAAAGAAAAAAAAAATAGGAGTTGGAAACAAGACCTTAAGATATTTTCTAACAAAAATAAGTTCATTGTGTAGTTGGGGAAAACATCCATGTCAGTTATTGTTTTTGCAATAATAAAATGTTGCAATATTTTAAGTTTGCAATAAAAGTTTAAAACATTTTTAATTACAAAGCTAAATGAAGCAATGACTATGGAGAATAGTTCATATAGGGAACATAAAAGTAAATGTCACCTGTCTCCAGCTGAGCGTCTATATCATAAGCCTTATCCGAAGGCTCCAAGTTCCCTCTCTTGTAGTATTCCTTACAGATGGTGATGAGCTTCGTCCTTCCATCTTCATCCTCCGCATAGCTGATCGGGCCCACGGAGAGCTGACCCAACCGGCTGTACTGTAAATAACAGAACTCAAGTGAGATTCATTCATCTTCATCCGCTTAATCCGGGGTTGGGTCGTGGGGACAGCAGCCTAAGCAGACAGGCCCAGACTTCCCTCTCGATGTGGAGGAGCAGCGGGTCTACTGAGCCCCTCCCGGATTATAGAGTTCCCACCCCATCTCTAAGGGAGAGCTCAGACACCCTGCGGAGAAAACTCATTTCAGCCACTTGCATCCGCGATTTCATTGTTTTGGTCACTACCCAAAACTCGTGACCGTAGGTGAGGGTTGGAACGTAGATCGACCGGTAAATGAAGAGCTTCATTCACCTTCCAGCTCAGCTCTCTTCACCACAGTGGCCCGGTACAACCCGCAACACTGCAGACGCAGCATCAATCTGCCTGTCAATCTCCAGCTCCATCTTTCCCTCACTTGTGAACAAGACTCCAATATACTTAAAGTTAGCTTCAGTTAAATTTTAAAATGTTTTTCTTTTCCTGCAGCAGACAGATCATCATAGAATGGTCAAAATGTGGATTGCTTAAGACATTTCTCAACTTTTCAAGTCATTTATGTAGCTCAGAACGTTTCAGTTCTGTTTTTTTTGTTATTCACTAAGCAAAATCGTCCCCGCTCATAAATAAAACCGTGGAAACTAATCAGTACCAGGGGATCATGCGAGACACCCGTATCATATTCCAGTGAAAGGAGTGACACCGACCTGAAAAAAGAACGGTCCTCCAGTCTGGACCCAAATACTCGGGACTTTGCTAATATGCTGCTTTTCACTCATCATGCCCGCATTTATATCAAGAAAATGATTATGCCCCAAATGTTGGCAGTAAATGTCGTTACCATCATAGGACTTCACATTGAGCGTTACCTGATCGATGACATGAAACAGGCTGTCATAGACAGCACGCTGAGTGTAAACAGAAATACTGAAGTCGTCCTCATCCACCCCACTGTAGTCCTTCAGGAAGAGGTTCTTCAGGGCCATGGTGTTTTCCTCCTTGTACGCAACCACCAGCTGGTTGCTGAGGCCGAACAATACAAGCTGTAAAGGATCAGGTGGATGTAAAACTTACAGAGACAGTACCTCTCCTCCCCCACCCCATCCAAAAGAGAAAAAAAAACCTTTCAGATGAAATGTTTGTTAAGAGCCACTAAATGTACTTGATGTGAAATATGAAGAGAAATTTAAGGTTCATCACATTCTTTTTGTAGCCAAGCAAAAAGCATAACTAGCCATGGAAGAAAATTCCACTCTACTCTGATAAGCTTTTACTGTTTTGCACGTATTTGTAGAATTTAAGACACAAGTGAAACGATGCTTTAGGTTTCCATATTAGAATTTAGGTATTTGCAAATGATGGGCAAAACCATTACATTTTGGCATCAATTTGGCTGAAGTATGTTGGAAAACCTTAATGTTGTGGTACATATGAGCAACAATAAATATGTCCATAAACAAAAGTAGGAAGCGCACCAACAGCAGCAGTAAACCTGATCTCCGAAGCCATATTTAGTCATTCCAGGTGCTGAAATGATGTGAAACTTTTTTTTTTGTGTTAACACCAAAACAGCTGAAATACTCATTTTCTGTTGTCAATTTAAATAAACTATTCAGGTTCAGGTCACACGGTCAAAGTTACAAGGAGTCACTGTGGACAGGCTAATTTCTTATTACAATAAATAACTAAAGTTATACACACACACACACATACACACACACACACACACACACACACATATATATGTATAGGTAGTATTTTTTTTTTCAAACTGATGTTGCTATAATCTACAATGAGGCTGTTGCACATACTTGTGTGGTGATCATGACAATCTTCAGAATCTGAACTCCCATTTTCCAGGGTATATGTCGCCTGGTCCTGTACTTCTCACATGGACTCATGAAATAATACCTCAGGTCGTCTCTCAGGTTCTCCTCCTTGACTAGATCTTGACTCATGACAGAGCTGCAACACCAGACAGGAGCAGGGTGGATCAAGCTTGTGCAAAACTCAAAGGAAACATTTACATTGCAGCTTTGAATATTTTTTGGGACTGTGCAGAGGGCGTTGTAAATTTTAAGGGAGAAATGCAGAAGTGAAAATGTGGAAGAGAGATTAATTCTTAAGAAATGGTTCTGTTAGTAAAACTCCATGTATTAACAGACAGGGGCTGCAGTGAGTGTGCTTTTGGGTTCAAGTCCAAGGTTATTTAAGTGAGGCCCAGCTGTTTGTCTAACGGCCAATGCGAAAAATCTCATAAAGCCTTTTTCCATTTAAAGTGTATTTAAACAAGTTTTAGACTGGAGTCCAGACTTTAAGTGTTTAAAATGACTTTGGTTGTTGTGGCTTTGTAGAAGGTGATTAAAAATGTTCCTGTTTCTGATTCTGATCAAGCGTTTAAGCGGTAAACACATTAAATACCTTACTTCAGTCTGATTGAAAGCACACTCATACAAGTTTTTAACGCAGATAATATTCATGCAGAACACGTACCTCATAGAATTACTTCTATCCAGATACCGATTCAGTAACTCCATGATTGATTGTCCCCGTGAATCCTACCATTTACCCGGGCCTGGTTGTTAAAGGACCCCCGACACTCGACCAGACTCTGCGCAGCTGAGCTTTGAGTGGAAGCAGGCAGCGTCCAGGAAGCCAATCAGCAGGCGAGTTTCAGGCGCCGCTCAGGTGCGCAATCAGATGTGTTGTATGGAGTCATGAGAGTGCCAAAAATGAACGGTTTGAAAAAATATTATTGAATAAAAAAACAACTGACAAAAAATATATGCGAAATGACACTAGTAAATAAAAATAACTAAAACGCACAATTATGAAAAAAGCTTAAGAAAAATAAATCCAAAAAACTAAAAAACAAAAACTAATTTTGAGTTATGCTTTTACTTAAAATGTATTTGTGTTTTTATTTGAATTACTTTGTTTCAGAACGTGTTTGTTATGTTATTAAACAAATAAATTATTTTTTTATTTATTTTTATTGAAGCTTTCCTTTATTTAAACCTTTGTACACTTACAGATCATGAAATAAAAAATACTCAGAACCAAAGTAGGCTGAAGCTAAGACGTATTTGTGCCCTTCCCACGTGTTACATTCAGCTTAACTGTACTTTTGAAATAAGATTAATAAAATAGTAGAATATAAATTTAAACATTCAGATGAAATATTTAATTTTTTTTTACATTTGTGGTATTTTCAGAATTGTACAGAAATGTTCTTTAATAAATTATTGCTGCTATGCTAAAGTAAATTAAACCACATCAGTCACTAAGTATACTAACAATTCAAACAAAATAAACATTTTGTAAATGTAGCTGGACACAGGGCCGTCCAGAGACCTTTGAAGGGGCGGGTGGTCAAAGTAAAAAAGGGGCAATTATAAAGCAAAACTTTTAAACAGATTGGTGATCCGACAAGTTTGAAAATTCAGATAATGAGACCCTTGGGTTCAACCAACATAATAAACTAGGAAAAAAATATCATTTAATGTCATTAATTGAAGTTAATATTAGTTCATAAATAAGTGTTTTAGTTTTTAAAAACTGACTTATATCTAGGGACGTTACAACCACATTATTGCCCTGATCTGAGTCCAAGTTGTTTGGTTTTTTATTATCTTCCAATACTGAGTCCTGTTCTGATACCAGGTGGTGATGCAATGCATTAAATAAGAAGAAAGAAGTTGCCCTTCTGTCTGTATTTGTCATTTTGTTATTTTAGCCTTAAAAGGTCACTCATTCAGGAAGTACATTTAACAGTATTTGAGATTCAAGATAATTTATTGTCATTGCACAGGTGTACAATGAAACTGACTTTGTGCGTACTAAAGACAGCTCTAGTAAGTGGTAGTAAACTAAATGCAACCACAGAAAGTTTACAGCCATGTTAGCTGAGATCTTTTTCCTGTCAGTAGAAAATTCTTGATCCATTTCAATGTTCTCACTGAACTTACCACTAAACATGAAAGCTCTGCTACCAACCTAACAACTTCCTTTGCACAAAGGCTCCGTCTTCCCATACGTGGCATGAGTATGGCGTTTAAAGCGTGCCACAACCCGTGCACGCGCATTGGGTCCACAGCGCTTGTGTGAACGGGACTCGCGAGCGAAAATATACATGGCAGCGCGCGCGTGAACGGGACTCGCGAGCGAAAATATACATGGCGAGAGGTCATTTGTGCACTGAGAGGGAGCAAACTGTGTCTGTGAGCGCACAAGGATGTGCACAAGTGACAAACCTGCGTGCGCGCGTTGCCAACGAGCACGCGGCAGAGGAAAACGTGCGCGCGCGGCAGCCTCTCTGCGCGCTCGGCAGCCTCTGCGCGCTCGGTTTCTAATTCCGCTCGCTCGGCTGTGAGGAGTTTTGGCACTCTGGAGGCGTGGCCTGTGGCAGATCTTCCCTGTCCTCTGATTGGTTAGTTTACCCCGCACTTTACTCTCTACTTATCTATATAAAAAAATCTGAGATTCAGCAGTTGCTGTCATAGCTCAGCTGGGAGAGCGGGTAACTCTCACTCTGGAGGATCCAGGTTCGAGTCCGGCCAAGGAACATAGAGTTGATGTCATAATATTCTTTCCTAATTCCTGTGATATTATTTTACAGTTGTGACCGTTCAACTGTCATTAAACGTCCGAATGTTTGCTGGGCAGTGTTTTAAAAAGTGCACATAAGCTAGATGGTTTTAACCAGGTAAAAATAGACTTGTGGGTGTAGGTATGTTCAAGTTTAAAAAGTTCTTTCCTCATTAATGTATTGTTTATTTTTTTCAGCATTTAATTGACAAATTATCCTTTCAAATAATTAATTGATGAGTTACATAACTGTCCATTTAGAATTGTTGAATGGACTGAGTCAAGTTTGGTGCACTTTATATATTTCAAAACATGTTTTTTTTAATTATGCATATAAATAATTTTAATGTTAATTTATTGAAATATTTCTATTTTTTCATTACCTCACCCTTGTTTTGACAAAAACAAGACCTTGCTGGATAATATCATGGAGAAACTATTTGTTCACAGTACTTGGCTCAGTGAGGATCTGTGTACCAAAGGAGGAGACACTCAGAAATCTGTCTGCAGATTGTTACAACCCAGACTGGAAGTGGTGGGCTGTAATAAGAAAGGAGACCAAACAGAGGAGTGGGGGGTTCAACATCTGATTTATTTAACCAAAGTAAGGATTTACTAAAGCAAGTTAGTGAACAGAAAATGGCCATCTCAAGGTTTTACTCGGATGTCCCTCAGCAGGGTGCAGCACTGTTGAAGGTCATCTGAATGAAAGCTTGATATGCAGCTTCTTTATGAAAGTGTGTAAATATACAGTGTGGTTGCCGTACATATGTTGAGGTTCTCAGACATCAGGCTTCTTTGCCCAGGCCTTCACTAGTGGGCTATTTTAAAAGTTGGTAAGGAGAAAAACCACAGCATATAGCTGATTGTTTACAAATGCAAGGAGGGGAATAAAAATCAAAATCCTAGTCTTCTTGGACCAGATGAATGGAGCGCTCCACATGCACTCAGAGATGTTATGGCTTCTGTTTCTATAACTTTATATGCAGACATGTCACGGTTTGCCTCTGCAGTAACCCATTTGCAGGAATAAAGATCCTTTATCCAGAGTTCAAAAAAGATTTAATAAACAAACTTCCTCCACTGACTGTGGGAACCAAAAACCAAAACCAAACTCAATCCATACAAGTACAATTCAGCAAAGACAACTCCACACTGATGACTGGCAGCAGTGGCCTGAAATAGGGTGAGGGCAATCAAGATGGTGGTTCAGCTGCAGCACTCCAGGAGGTTCACAGGGAAGGGGAGGATTCCTGAGAGGAGCTGCAGCTGACCTGAACAAAAACAACAGAGAAAAAGTTAAACACAAACACAAAAAGGGGCGAATCATAACATAACCCCCCTCACAAAGTCCGGCTCCCAGACGGACGTCTCGGCTGGGTGGGGTGTTCCCGGTGAAACTGATCGATCAGATCACGGCTGAGGATGTGGCGTTCTGGGACCCATTGCCTGTCCGCCGGGCCGTAACCCACCCAGTCCACGAGGTATTGGACGCCCCTGCCCACTCTCCTCGAGGCCAAGAGCTTATTCACGCTGTAGACAGGACCGCCATCCACAATGCGGGGAGCTGGAGGGACCACAGGTGGCGTCTGCAGGGGACAGAGTCTCTCAGGCTTCAGCTTGCTCACATGGAACACAGGGTGGACTCTCAGTGCCCGAGGGAGCTCCAACCTGACGGCTACTGGGTTGATGACCTTGGTGATGGGGAAGGGTCCGATGAATCGGGGCCGCATCTTCCTGGCACCCCCCTTCAGTGGCAGATCAGCCGAAGAGAGCCAAACCCTGTCACCCACCTTGTACTCCGGAGCAGCAGACCTCCGGCGGTTAGCCACGGAGGTGAACCGTTCCTGGTTCCGAACCAGTCGGGAACGGTACTCAGTCCATGTACGACGGCAGCGCCTCACGAATGCTGCAGGACCGGAGGTGGAAGCCGACCTCTCCTGATGGGGGAAGAGAGGCGGTTGGTACCCGTAGGCAGCCTGGAAGGGGGAGAAGCCAGTAGAATTAACCAGGGTGTTGTGCGAATACTCAGCCCAGGGGAGTTGAGAGGACCAAGTCTGGGGGTTCTTCAGGCACATAGCACGCAGGGTGGTCTCCAGATCCTGGTTAAAGCGCTCTACTTGACCATTTGTCTGAGGGTGGAAACCAGAGCTCAGACTGACCGTTATTCCAAGGAGTCTGCAGAACTCCTTCCAAAAAGCTGCAACAAACTGGGGTCCTCGATCCGAGGTGATGTTCTCCGGAAGTCCGTGCAGCCGAAAAACATGCCGCACCACCACCTCCGCCAGTTGCTGAGCCGATGGCAATCTCTGCAGGGGTATAGCATGCACCATCTTTGAGAACCTGTCCACTACAGTCAGGATCACAGTCTTACCCTTAGAGTTGGGTAGTCCAGTGATGAAGTCCATTGCAATGTGGGACCAAGGTCTGGAGGGAACAGGTAGAGGTTGCAGGAGTCCAGCCGGAGGAGTTCTGGGTGACTTGACGCTGGCACACACTGGGCAAGAGGAGACAAAAGCTCGAACGTCAGACGACACCGTAGGCCACCAGAACCGCTGCGCTACCAGGAAGGCAGTCCTGGTTACCCCAGGATGGCAGGCCAGGCGTGATGAATGCCCCCATTTCAACACCGCCGGGCGAAAACCTGGGGGAACAAACAAACAGTGCGGGGGGCACCCAGACGGAATGGTAGTGGGGTCTCGGACTGCAGCATTGATCCTGCGCTCCAAGGACCAACGAGAGACCCCAAGGACCAAGTTGGGCGGCACGATGAACGTGGACTCTGACTCCAAAGCCTCACCCTCCTGCTGGTACTGGCGGGACAGGGCATCAGGTTTAATGTTCTTACTGCCCGGACGGAAGGAGAGGTTGAAGTTAAACCTGTCAAAAAACAGAGCCCACCGTGCTTGGCGGGGGTTAAGGCGCTTGGCAGTCCGTACATACTCCAAGTTCTTATGGTCGGTCCACACCAAAAACGGCTGCTCAGCACCCTCCAACCAGTGGCGCCATTCTTCGAGTGCTAGCTTAACAGCTAGCAACTCTCTGTTCCCTATGTCGTAATTTCTCTCTGCAGGAGTGAGCTTGCAGGAGAAATACGCGCAGGGATGTACTTTATTATCAGACGCTCTCTGTGACAGCACAGCACCCACCCCTGACTCAGACGCATC